TCCAAGTTTCTAAACCTTGGTAGGTTAGGCTGACCTTACCATGGTTCTTAAGTGAACCATGGTCAAGGTTAGCTTCTCCTACAAGTTTTAGAAACCATGGATGGTTAGCTACACCTTACCATGGTTCCTAGTGAACCATGGTTAAGGTTAGCTTCTCCTAGAAGCTACCTCCCCTATAAATTTGTAAAACCTTCTCTTGTAATCACTTTTGGACATTTATGAGACTTAGAATTCAGAAATTCTCTCTCATTTTCAAGAGTCAAATTCGTGAGAAAAACTTCTCCTAGTTTTCTCTCAAAGTTCCTTCTCCTAGAAGCTTGGTTTCTCAAGCTTCTTCACTTCTTCAAGAGGTGGCCGAACCTCCCTAAGTGCTTCTCCTCCATTGGAGTTTGCTTCAAGGAGCTTCAAGTGTTGATTGAAGATTTACCTCAAGAGTATTCACGGTCCTTGCATGGAGCACTTGAAGAACATCAATCTTCTCCAAGTGACTTCCATCATGGATGAAGTAATAATAAATGAATATAAAATAAATTATTGACTTGACTGAAACTGGGTCGTTCACTTGTTGAAAAATACTTGCTAGTTTGTTCAAAATAACTAGATATCCATCGAAACTTCGATATAATTGAAGTTCTAAGTGATGAGTCAGATATATTTAAACGTCACTTTGGTATCCAGAAAAATAATAATCTCATTAGAGTGGTGAAACATATTAAATATATACTTGTTACAGTGACATTGGTTGTATATAAGATAAAACTTTAGAAATGATAAATAAAGCAAGACAACTATATCTATCCATCAAACACAAGCTTTCAAAAAAAAAATTCAAAAGCTAATTTTTATTTTTTTGAAAATTAAAATCAAATACATCCTTAGTTTATAGTTGTGTATACTTTTTAATATTATTATTAAATTATGTTAAGGTAATCGTTATTGGAATTTTCTAAAGGAAATTTAATTATTTTAAATTTAGTCTGTTGTGTGTGTAGAGAGATATAGAAATATGTCTTAAAAATAAAATAAATAAATAAATAAAATTAACAATTTTGAAGAGGGGAAGGTGTTGTTGTCTCACTCAAGGACCCAACCCAACCCTATCTCAACTTTGTGACACTTTCTAAATTGTGCTAAAAAGCAAAGAGATATTTTTTTTTGTCCACAAAAGTTAATGACACAATAAGAGATGAACAACTTGCAAATTTCATTTTATCACTTAAGGGTCCATTAACTTTGTGGCACTACAATTGAGTTTGTCGTTATCCATCTTTCTTCATTGATGCCAAAAATAGTAAGCCACGTTCCCATTAAAAAAAATAATCAGACAGATAATGCGATTTGACACAAATGATTAAGAAATAAAAAGAAAATTCTCCTCAAACTTTTGTCACGCAGTATGAGACTAACCATAATTACGTAATGATTTAATATCATATTGTCGTTTAAGATGGCATTTTATAACTTGGATATTACTCCCAATCACAATTTGCATATATAAATAGAAAATTTTGTAAATAAATCCAAATATATACTAATTGAATTTGCTTAAGCAATTACTTGTAACTACTTTGATAAGAAACTATAATTTATTGTTAAAAAGTCTATTCTTTTTGAAAATTAATTTGCTCTTATTTAAACTTGGGTTTCAACGATTAACCTACAAAATGGGCTTAATGTATATATAGATAAATGATAGATGGTCCATTCTAAATGATTTAAAATAAATAGGATTTAATTTTTCTTATACACTTTCTAACACTTTTTCTTATACACTTTCTAACAGTTAGGGATGATAATAGGACAAATAATAATCTTTCTTACTTATTTCGTTTAATGTAGGTATCAATTTAACAAGTACTTCTTAATTTTTATATATATTTACAGATATCCATAAGTATTTTGTTAAAATATAAAATTTTAAATAAAAAATAAGAAATAAAATAAAGCTAAAACTAAATAATTATAAAACATATACTCAATTTGGAAAATAATTTTGTAATATATATATATATATATATATATATCAAAAATAAATAATCATAACATGTATATTGATAATAAATATATTCAATATTTTTAAAATGTGTATATCCATGGATTCGGATATTATACTTTCCATTCTTATTCAATTATATATTAAGTGGGTACATCCATTTAATTATTCATTTATAATTCATAGTATATTTTACCTGCAAAAATTTTATAGTACAATTTTGCCATTTCTAATCACGCCCAATACTATTAAATCAGATATATGTATAAATGATGGATTTTTTTTTTAATGAATTTATGATAGTTGTAATATTATCTTAAAATGTCTGTTTTTACAAAAGTGATTTGTAAGTACAGTTTGTTTCTACTCTCAGTTTATATATTTTAATTTGGTTTTATCTTTACTCAATATAAAATTTATATTTTTTTAATATATCTTCTTATATTAATATTATTGAATTTGATATATAAATAAATGGTGATATATAACTGATCTAAATTCGAGGATAAAGGGAACTTGCATACGTAACCATGTAGAGAAGTGAAGCATAGTATAGGAGTAAATAATAATAAAAATAATAATATTGTTGTGGCATTGTTTGTGTTTAAATTAAGGGAAAAAGAAAAATGATGGAGAATTGAAAGTGGTGAATTTAGATGGAAGCGGTGGCAAAGAGTGATGGGGTGGTGGTGGAAGGAGACATGGGTGAATAATCAGAACATGATAATATATACCTAATAACCTCTACCAACTTCATCTGCTTGTTTCACGTGAAAATGGCGTCATTTTCTGCTTGGCTTTGCTTAATATTTGATCTCAATAGTATAAAACCCATCCCTACAATTTAAAGCATGTCATATGCTACATCAACACCCCTCAATCATTCATATATTTCTTTTTATTCGAGATGATTTGCTACCTAATGTTCTTTTGTTTGATCCTCTTTTTCTTTCGTTAATTGACAAAACTATGTTCAAGTTCTAAGAGTAAAATTGAAAACCGAGAGATTTCGATTGAGAATTTCTTTTTTTTTTTTTTACTTTAAATCATAATAATGTCAACTTGTTTTTATTTTTAATTTTTAAAGATTTATAAAGAAAATAAATAATATTATTTTATGTAAATATTTAAAATAGAAAGCAGTACTTTTATAATTACTACGGACAAAAAAACACTAATAGTAATACTTTATTTATATAATATATAGAGAGAAAAGATTCACTTATCCCAATATTAAATCTTAAATTTTAAACTTACGCTTATTTTATTTAATTATTTATGATATATATCAAAATTTAACAATTTAATTGTTAAATTAAAATTTTTAATCGATAGTTCAAGTCTACAAATTTCTAAAATATTTAAAAATTATTTGATATTTCATTTCATTAATTCAAATTAACATATATATGAAATGTTTTTATATTTATTCATTTGTTTGAATAAATAAAATAAAGTATCAAATAATTTTTAAATTTTTTAAAAATTTACAAACTTGATTTAAACGTTAAGAACATTTAATACAACAGTTAAATTATTAAAATTTGATATAAAACATGAGTTATATAGTGAAATAAGTGAATCGCTCTTCACATACACACACACGTATATATATATATATATATATATACATATATATATATATATATATGAGAAGGAATTGTTTTACTCTAGGAGATAGACTTATTCCATTCAATAACTCATGTTCTACATCAATCTTCAATGATCCAACTGTTTAATTTAAAGTTCTTAATGCATAGATCAAATTTTCAAATTTTTAAAAAATTTGAAAATCATTTGATACTTCGTTTGATAATTTAAATCAATGTATAAAATAATTTTATGATTATCCGTAAATTTGAATATTATACTACAATATAAATTATTTATTAAAAATCTAAAACATGATTTATGTACGTTAAAAAATTATATTTATACAAATTTTAATCATGATTTATATATTCAAACATAATATTTATTTAATATAAAATTAATTATAAATTTTAATATTATATAATATATATTTAGTTTGTGCGATAAAATACTAATTTATTTAAAAATAGTCATACTTCCTTTTTCTTTTTTAACTCTCTTACATATACGATCTCATCTTACGATGTGAAATATATGTGAGAAGAGTCATTTCTGTAATATCAATCCAATAATGATTAATAAATACATCAATAGCAAGCCTCCGCTGATAATGAACAAAGTACGTATATTAGATTTTTCATTAGTGTCTGAACATTTTTAGATGAATACATATCAAAACAATTATCATTGCTATTTCATCGTACATAGGTGATTGTGTTAATATATTATGCCCTACTTTCTCTTCGCACCATTGATTATATTTGTGGCCCTATTTCAGTATTATTATGTAGTAAGCAATCATAATATTTGATAAGTCGGTAATAAAATAAATATGTAGCATAATATAAATCAAAAATGAATAATTTAATATAGTTCGAAAGTATTTTTACATTTTTCTTATAAATCAAAAATGAATAATTTAATATAGTTCGAAAGTATTTTTACATTTTTCTTCTTTTACGCGTTCTTGCCAATTAAATGCATTTCCTATTCTTAATAGGATTGGAAGGTTGTCCATTATCATCGTGCCTATCTTCAACTTGAAAATATACACCAATCAAAGCAAAGTAGAAAAGAAAGAAATGTGCGATGCCATATAATTGGAAGATGAAAAAGGAAATCACAGAAATATATCAATGCTTTTCTGAACCTTCAAAATATCCCTTCCTTTCGTTTCCAGCCATTCATTGATTTCACCCACCATATGCTTTCTTTCACTTCATCATTGATGATTCTCTGATCAGAAAGACCTCAACCACAGATCATTGTCGAGAATCCAACAAAACTGCTTACATAAGCAAATGAGATCATTTCAATAATAAAGTAAACAGAACAAAATATTTTAATCCTAATATCCCACGTGAATAATGAGCACCTCGTCGCCAATTCATAAAGCATTTTAAATTTTTCATAAACCAAAAAAGGCATCATATTGACTAAAAAAGAAAGATTAATTACATTTACCATGTGACACTACTATCCAAAATAAAAACGAGAAAGATAAGAAAGATAATATGTGCAAAAGCAAATCCTCCTTCTTGAAACTGCCTTGATGACTCATGACTCAAAGTCACTGATCCATTTCCCCATTCACACTCCAAGTGAAACGCATAGCCGTTTGATGCCAACGTACCAAGCAATAACCATTCTTCGCATCCACATAGTTATTATAATTATAACTGTGCAAACTAATTCATGACTCATTCCAAGATTAACATGCAAGAGTGCCCATCAAACTAAGAAAGAGCCATATCGTAAAGTTATGTACAATTTACAAGAGTGATACAATATGATTATAACCCATTTCCTTCGTGGCTCTTCACCTCACCCACCCCAATGAAAAAATGTAACATGAAAAAGAAAAAGATATAAGCTACAAAATTTTCTCTTTTTTTATTTTGCTTTTCTTCTCTATATCTTTCTGCAATTTGATTTTGTTTTTGTTGATTAAACTTAAACTTCTTGGGAGTTATCAGGGGAGGAGAGAGGGAAGCACGTGTCTTCACCACCAGTGTTCCATAGAAAATGAGCATAGTTAGCAGCGTAGAAGGAGTTATCAGGTTCAGCTGAAATGGCCTCCAGGTAAGTCTCCTCTGCAGCCCACAAATCGTTCTTCACTTTCCATAAAAAGGTGGCGTATTTATTATATGCCTCCGCGTCTGGTGGCTCCACCTCTATCGCCCTTTTGAAGTACTCTTCCGCTCTGTATTCAAACCACAAACCATATGTCAATAACAACACAACCACCTATCACATGTAAATTAAATTGCATTCACAACCTATACAAGATTCAATTAGTCCAAAATATCTTCGTCTTTTATTTTTTGTTTTATAAGTATAACTTAACTGTCTAATATAACTTTACTCCTAGTAAGTATACGCGGAAAAGTAAAAGTCAACGAGGTTACGTGTTAGATCTTCCTCGCCCTGCATGTGGAGATCACGTGCGAAAGACGATAGATGGATCCTGTTCATGAACCAGTGGTGTAGTTGTAGGTAAGGCAAACTACACCACATACTTGACTATCATTATTCAATTGGACAAAAAGCGATTTCTTTATCTTTTTCTTCATTAAGGTTCGATTTTCCCACGCAGAAAAAACCGCCTTCCCACGAGAATATGCTCCCTCAAACAGTGATCTCCTCGAAAAAACACCACACATAATTCCATACACCTTATTGGACGCACATCAGAAAATTAATACATATTTTTATCTAAGTAACTACCATTTATTTTTTCTTTTACCACCGTAATTTTCAAGACTTTTGACTCTCCTCTAGAATCCTCAAATATAATTACTAGATTCTGTTCTTGGTGCCACCTATAAAACTAGGCCTTAATTTTAGGAGTTAGAAGAGCTAAAACTTTTTTACCACTTTCTAACTCAGATCTACTATTACAAATTTAATATGCTAAATTATATTGTGAATCCACAAATTCAATGTTAGTTATCAACATAATCACACAAATTATATTGTTAACACGTTCATTCATGTTAAACGTAAGGAACAACAATTAATATTTTACCCAAATAATGACTGACGATAACTAAATTAACCCTCCTCTTTGAACAAGAATTCATTTCAAACAGTCATAGTTGGCAAGCTATAATTGTTTGATATACCCACGTACCTGTCATAATCGTGTGCAACGAGGTAGAGAAACTGAGCATAGTTGGCAAGGAGAAGAGTGTTGTTAGGGTCCTTAGACAACCCCGTTTGATACACAAGCTCTGTTCTGAGAAACTCTGCATAATCATCGGATTCGATCCTCGCCGTCACCGGCGAAACGAACCGTTTCATGGCATCACGATCCAAACCCACCTCCATTTTCGAAGCTTCTTCAACCATCGAATCCCACAGCTTCGCCTCTTCTTCTTCCTGCCCCAACACCGACTCTGTGTTATCCCCTGTTTTACAAACCTGTGACGAGGTACCCATGTCGGAGAAAACCGTCCCATGTGGCGACCAGTCCGACCGGTCAAACCGGCCATCCCCGTCGGTCCCGCTCGACACCGGTCGGAACTTTCCCCCGCCGCCATTTCCGCCGCCGACGGCGGCGGTGTTTTTCCCTTTCGAAACAGAGAAAGTCTTCACGGCGGAGGAGTCAATGTTGTGAGTGTGAGTGTGACCCTTCTGGTCTTGAGACTCCGCGGAGACGGAGGTCCCCGCCAAAGGCGGTGACACGGCGGCGATGGCGGCGGCGTGCCCCATTGAGTGAACTGTAAAATTGGCGAGCAAAATCATAACATACACCATTAGAGTTGGCGTGTGAGAGAAAACTTGCTGAAAGAGCCAGACGAAGGAGGCGTGCATTTCGTTCTGCACCCTTTCGAGAATCCCTTGCAGATCCTCGTAGAAAAGAACCTCCCTCATTTGCAGAGTGAAGCTATGGAGTTCCCTTATGATGAAAACCATGGAAGAGAAGGCTTTCTTGACAGAGCAATAGGCGGATTCCCCTGCCTCTCTGAACCCCTCCTTCCACTGCAGCTTCTTCTTTATGATCCTCAGCGAAAACGGAAGCTCTACGCTGTTCGCCTTCCGTTCAATATTGGCCGGAATAATCTCAGGCGGCTCAAAGTCCTCGGCGTCGGAATCCGAATCGTTGGCATTGGAATCAGAGAGCTGAAACTTGAGCGCCAAATCCTCAATCTTCTTGGCGAACTCCTCATCAGAAAAAGGCTCCAAGCTGGCGCTGCACGCCCTGCGTATACCCCTCCCCCCGCGCGTGGAGAGCGCGTGGTGATCAAAGGACTTGGACCTGCGAAGAAAGCGCGTGGAGGGAAACAAACTGGAGCGGTGCACGAACCTGCACACTAGGGTGCGCGACGAAGGGGAAGAGATTGCCGATGCTAGGGTTTGCGAGGAGGAGGGAGAATGAGGAAGAACAGGCTGCGACAATTGCATAACCTTCAGTCCCATAACGACGTCGTAATATGAAATTCGAAAAATATGGATCCACTTATAGCCCTCTCTTCCTTTTAGTTCACTCCAACGTCCAACCTACCAAATAAACCAAACAGATTCATCCATGAAAAGGTGAATACGAACGAAAATCCACTTCATTGAAATTCACAACTCAATGATTACAGAGTCCACGAAAAACGGATCTGAGAATGTAACGGTGTTCAAGAAAATGGAAGAGTATAAACTATAAAGTATAAATTATAAACTACAAAGTATTAAGTATAAAGTATAAATAAACTCACCCGCTGTGACGACGCGGGTTTTATTATATTATTTATTTGGCGACGATACGCCGGTGAGGTGAGTGTTTTCCGACGAGTGTGGCGGAGGCGAAGCGCAAGGGTTGTTGCGGCTTCAGTTTCTATATCAAAAGTTGCAAGTGGGAAAGGGTGGGGTATATATAGGGGGAAAAGCAAAATGCGTGAGAAGAGGGAGAAAAATATCAGTGTGACCGGTTGCTACGGTAGTGGTCCCACTGTATTGCATGCGAACCGCCATCATGTCCTACAGTTGCATCCGGTAACAGGTCCTCAGGTGGGGCCCTTTTTGCTGATTTTTTTCCGAGGTCTTGATCAACTGCAAAATTCACTTTAAATAAATTGTAAAACAGCTTTTACATGCTCCACTTTTCCTACTTGCTTTCATGAAAATTCCTCTACTCAGTAGGCTTGTTGTGATTAATGTCATCAAGGTTTAAATGGTTCTCATTAAGGTGATATCTTTTCTTTTTAACTTTTAATTATTTTATTTAAATTAAATAAAGTTGCCATTATCACTTGCTGCTGCATTAACCAATCTGACCATAAAGTACCCTTCTTCCTCGTTCCAAAAGGTTTTCATCATGTGAATCCTTTCTTAAATAAATATTTTATTTATGAGGTTTTCATTTATTTTTATCTTCGGATTAGACACGATATTATGTATTACTTCATCAATAGTTCGATACTCTATATATTATTTCACCAATAGTTTTCATCACTTGTTGCATCCATTGCAAATAATTAAGTACACCGATTTCAGTAAAAAAAAATTGTAGAATATTATGACTCACTGTAAATAAATAAAAATAAAATCAAGTAATACGATTCAACTCATAAATTTATTGATCATAATATTAAACTATATTTTTTTAATGAATTTACTTATTTTGGTTAATGTTTTAATTCAAGATCATCCTATTACTCATTATTGTACAAATGAGTTATTAGAAATTCATAGTCTTCTAAATAAAAATTGAAATTAATTTCTATGACATATTTTTAAAAGATAACATATTTGCATATACTTTAGTCAAAAAAATGCATTATTTCATAAAAATCTTTCGATTTTAATATTTAAATCTTGTTTTTTTTTTTAAGTTCCTAGCTGATGTTACTAGATTGGCCCGATACAAGTTTAATCGATTTCTTAAATTTTTTAATATTTTCTTTCTTTTTCTCATTCTATATATAAAAGAATTCAATTTTTTATATGAAAAGATGTGATTGAATAATATCTTATTAAAATTGACATGTCAAATTCCTTAACGATGATTAGTTGTTATGTCTCATCGAATTTTAATTTTTTTTTAAGTGACATTAAAGTTTAAAAATATCTAAAGAACATGTGCTAATTTTTTTTATTTAAAAAAAATATAATTATTATTTTTATTTCATTGATTTGTGTTGTTTGTAACCGAAGGAATCAAAGAAAGGTCATAGGAGGACTTTTCAGTCGGACGCGACTTCTTTCACGGGGCCTTGTGGATCCAATCTGGCCCTTCAGTTTCTGCCACGTGTCTGTTATTGCAGTTACTTTTGTTGGGCGAATTGCAAAAAGGTCGTGAAAATACGTGATTCATCACCGACGTTCCCTTCTAATGACCCGACCGAAGGACACGTATCCTTACCCTTGAAACATTAAAAAAAAAAAAAAAAAAATTCTTTATTGTCGCCTCCATAATAGGATCCTTGTTCCCAATCCACACTAGTTATTAGTAGCATAAGTGCATAACTTTCCATATCATTGTGACACTTCAAAGTTTAAGGAATACACCCTCCAAAATTAGAGGTTAAGTTGGATACTTTCTTTAATATAAAAATATCTATCATGTTATTTTAACAAATTTATATTTTATTTGTTCTATAACTTGTTTTGTAACTTAGAGGCAATTATATACTTGAGTAAAAAAAAAAATTATACTAATGGGTCTTACATTAATTTATATGTATATTTTTAACAAAGGTTTTATGTTGCATTTCTTATTGCTAATTGTTTAAAGTACTTATTAAAATAACATTAAAGTATTTAACAAAATGTTTGGAAATTCAAGAAAAAACAAGAGAGATATAAATGAAATTAATGAAAATAACTGAAGTAGTAAATTAAAATAATTTTTAAAATAAGCATTAAGAGAAAGTGTCATTTAGCAAAAAAATTATTAGTTTAGACTCATTTATTCTATCCTTATTGTTAAGGAATTATAGAAGTTAAAGTGAATAAATGTCATGCGATAATTTTAACATATTCTGTATCATTAAAAAAAGTTACTCACTATTTATTTATGTATCAAGTTTAAGAGTACGGGACATAAGAAGATATATTGAGAAAAAATTCAAGTCACACATTTATTAAGAGTAAGACATCTTTTATAATTATAAATTTTTTGATTGTCTTATTTATAAGCTATGTGGGATTTAAGTTTTTTCCAATACATCTCTCACTAATATTATCAAGTTTGATGCATGTATAAGTGATAATGACTCTTCTAGGATAAATCTATAATATCTCTAATATCATCTTAAAAAATAAATTTAAAATTAATTTAATATTATATAATTAACTTGTAAAGTGAAAATTCTTCTTCATATTACTTATCTTTAAATAATATCAAACTTAAATTTTTTACAATAAAAAATATACTTTTAAATCAATCACATATAAAATATAGAAGACCACCAAAAAGTATAAATCAATTTATATACATTAAACATGAATCGATATTTTATGTGAGTGTTTTTAAGAATTTTTATTTTATAAGAGAGTTTGTAGTAATTATTTTAACTTTTTATTTATTTAATTTTTATTTATCATAATTATTTATGAATTAATTATTAATATTTAAATAAATTATCAATAAATAAAAATAATTTTCTACTACAATATAAATTATTTACCATAAATCTAAAATATAATCTATATATTTAAAAATATATATTTATATAAAATTTAAATATAATTTGTATATATTTAAATATAATATTTATATATTATTTATTATAAATTTTAATTATAATTTGTATTACATATCTTAAAATATTAATTTAAATAAAATAAAGAAAATGATATGACAGAGTTATTTTAGGTTACAATACAATGATATGTTATTTTGCATATTTTTTTGTATTACATTATTCTCATGTTTTCCCTTTTTGATAATAATAAAATGACAATAAAATTTCCGGTACATATCTCCTCCTTTTCTTTTTCCCTATACATGTCGTACATAAGGGGCATAGGAAGTGACTTGAAAGTTGAAACGATCACTTTTCAAGATTTACTTTTCACAAAAAAAAAAAAAAAAAAAAAAAAAAAAAAAAAAA